TCACTCACTCACTCACTCACTCCTTCTTTCCTGCTTTCCTCCTCCCTCCCTCCCTTCCCTCCATACTTCCTTCCTTCTATCCTTCCTTCCCTCCATACTTCCTTCCTTCTATCCTTCCTTCCCTCCATACTTCCTTCCTTCTATCCTTCCTTCCCTCCATCCATACTCCTCCTTACCTCGGAAGCAATCTTTCCAAGTAAAACCGTCTGGCTTCCTGACTCTTACGCGTCATCTTCACCCAGTAATAGAACCTCCGTCTTAATGCCTGCTGATCATGTTTCATCTGCACCTTCTCTCCAATCGCCTTGTGTTTATCTGTAACTAAAATCCAATAACAGACTTTCACTTTGAATAACTACATGTTAGAGGGTACGGGGGGTGTTGTTACAACTCAGCATCTCAAGCATTTTGATTGACATGTGTGGCGTGCGCTGCTACGGCGCTGTCCTGTCTCTCGCCGCAATAATTTTTTTTCGGGTTTTCCGATTTTCCTCCCTCCGTAATAATAATAATAATGGTGAATATGATGGTGATGATGATGATGGTGATGATGATGATGGTGAGGATGATGATTGGTAGCATGGGTGGCGTTTGCGGCTAACGCGTCGTCTTTCACCGCTGTAAGTCCAACGGGTCGGGTCGCTGGTTCGAGCCCTGCGGTCGCCACATGTGAATTGAGTTTGTTTGATGTGTTGTTCTCTTGTATGCTACGAGGGTTTTTCTCCAAGTTCTCTGATTTCCTCCCTCCGTAAAAGTCAACATGTGAGTTGAGTGTTGTGTTGTAGATAGTGAACATAGTAGTAGTGCGTGTGAAGCGAACCTCACAGAAGAGCCCCAATACTGTATTGTATTATTTTTTCAACAGCAACAAAGACTGTTATCTTTCTACTTACTGATAGCTTTCTTCTGCCACTGTACTACGATAGTCTGTAATCTTTTCTTTGCGGTATACTAGAATAAATTAAGTAGCTTGATAATTACATGACACGATATAAAGGCTTAAAAAATGCCTTAGGAAATGGTAGAGAATAAAAATACTATTTCGGTACGTCGGGCAGTAGCGACGGGCTTGTTCACGATTTCTTGAATTCTCTCCGGAGAGTGACGCCAAGAAATGGTTGAAACAAAAATGTGTACAGATGAAACATGAACGAGTTTTCTTCTCTTCTCTTCCTTTCTTTTCTCTCCTCTCCTCTCCCCTCTCCCCTCCCCTCCTCTTCTCTCCTCTTCCCTTCCCTTCTCTTCTCTTCTCTTCTCTTTTCCCGACACATTTGAATACATTCTAAAAAGATGAAACACGTTATATCATATTGCAAGACTATCTACCTTGTTTTTCCAGTCATCAAAGAATCTCTTGATCAGAAAGGATCGATTCAAATTTTTCGCATCTGCATTACGCCTTTCCTTCATTCTGCGCGTCTTCACGTACAAGTGCCAAGCCCTTAGACATCTTAACCGCGTGCCATCACGCTGTGGTACGACAGTAAAACATCATGAGTATCTTCAAATATATCGTATACAGCAATATTTATAGACACTTACAGCTGGGGTGTAATGTTTATTCATTTCAGACCACGTCTCATTCCCTAGAGAAGCATTTCTTTGTTTAACGGTATTAATCATATTCTCAAGGAAATAACACTTACTCCGACGAAGGACAAGCGTCCGAAACGTCAGTTTCACAAAGCTTTTTACGGTGATTCAATTTATCTACAAGTTCCTACTAAAATAACATGTGGTCTGAAATGGGAAAATATTACGCCCAAGGTAAAGAGGACTACAGCTGAATATATACAATATGCAGTGGTACCTGACCAAATAGCAAAATATCAAAAGCGACCAAAATTTATTGAATGCGTATTTGAGATATAAAGCCGTGTACTTTGGGAGAGGTGATATTTTGATCAGCAGAAAAACTGACATTTTTGCGAATACTAAGTAGATTTACTCTAATAATCGTGACAAAATTTCGTCACAAGTTTCGAGCAGCAGTGACACAAATGAAACGCTTAA